GTCTTTCTGTGACCCCGAGGGTCCTGAGACCACACTGTCCGGCGAGGGTTCCACCCCCCCCCCACTTAGCACTGGAGTGACGTGCCTCAGCTGAGCTGGCTTCTAAAAGTTCCGATTTTGTGCTCCGCGGCTCTAGCACTTGCCAGAAGCGGCCGACGGAGGCCCCCTCCCCCTCCGTCTATCCTCCCGAATATCACCTCGGGTTCACTTCTCCGCACGTCCTACCTTCCAGAAAGCTTTTCTGTTCAAAGTGTTGTTACTATTCTTATCTTCGATCTCCTCTTGAGTTCGTAGGTGTTCAAATGGTTTGATCCCTATTCAGCTGAATTCCTGAGACCAGATGAAATCCAGGTCTCCTACTCCTCTGCCATCTTGCTCCACCTGCCGATCTATTTACATTTCTAGTGAAAATCCCACACCCTCCTTTGCTAGCATCTTCTGGAGTTAACTCCCGTTTGAGGTAAATGTGTTCTTTGCTTGGCCTTCTGAATACCCCTCCTCCATTGTGATGTAGGACAAGTATGTAATTGCATTTCAGGCTAATGAAATTCTGAAGGTCATTCAGAGGCCTGCAGGCTGAACAGCCAGGCTGCCACGCTGCTCATAGGGCCCTGGTCTTCGTGTCTTCAGTGCTCTCTAGACAGTTCCTTTTTGTTGAGGAGGAGTTTCCTGGATGGCTGGTGTGTGGTGCTCTGTCTGGTTCAGCAGCAGGAAGACAGTAGCAGGGGTGCTTGTTGCAAGCAGGTGGCATGGTAGGTGGAGGTGGACATGGAGGGATCTAAGAATCCACGTGGCCAGTTACCAGTGGATTCACTTTCCAGACAAGGTTACAGTGATTTGTTGGGGAGCAGTGTCCTACCACGCGAAGGTAGTGTGAATGAGCAGTGGTGGTAGTTTTACAGATCTTAGATTCATAGCATTTAGGAAGTGCAGGGCTCAGTGCGGGGATGTAAGGCCCGTGGTTGCAGACTGGCCTGCTGCATCCCTGATGTGCTGATGTGACAAAGTGCACATGCGTTTAGAAGCTTTGCCGAATCACTAGCTTTTCTGTCCTGAGTTTTCTGAGGTGGTGCCCAGAGCTCAGCACCGCTCCGTCAGGGTCTATGAAATGGGACGACACCATAGCCCGGCCTGGAGCGCTCTCATGCGTTTCACTGCACATTTCGTTTCCTGATTGTCAAGTGAGGTTATTGCTGACATCCCAGTTTTGTCTCCAGTTACAATGATATTCTGCATTTTTTGCTCAAGTAAATGTAATACTTCAGTTATTGAATAATAAGGATCTGAAAACATTGTGGGTGTATGTGAGTAAGAATGGCTACAGTAACAGGAGATTTGGCCTAGTTGTAGGATGCAGAAAGGCCTCTCACCAAGTGCTTCGTGCGAGGGGGACTGGCTGGACGATGGTGCAGGAAGAACGTGACACAGAGAGGGAAGAGATATGCAAAGGCCACGAGGCAAGGTGGATAGTGTGGTAAATGTTCATTGTGATTGTTTATTTGACTTTTCATTGTTATTTCAAGTTTTCTTTTTCTTTTTTTCCATATTTTTCATTGGTACTTTAGAGGGATGTTGAGGGAGGCTGTGTTACCCGTTCTGCCAGATTTCAGTTTTGAATGTGTGGCTTCATATATAGTTTTAATTAGCTTGTTAAATTTACTTGGACATTATGTGATTTCAAAGATATTGCTGAGCTGTGTTTATGTCATGAGAGATCATTTTGCCTAAAATTTTCATCTTCCTAAGAACTTAATCTGAGAAGGGGCTCCTGGGTGGCTCAGTCGTTAAGTGTCTGCCTCCGGCTCAGGTCATGATCCCAGGGTCCTGGGATGGAGCCCCGCATCAGGCTCCCTGCTCAGTGGGAAGCCTGCTTCTTCCTCTCCCACTCTCCCTGCTTGTGTTCCTGCTCTCGCTCTCTCTGTCAAATAAATAAATAAAACCTTTAAAAAAAAAAACTTAATCTGAGAAGTTTAATAAACAGTGGATATTTTTATTTGCAGCTCATTAAACATCAGAAAGTTTGTGCTGCATGTAAATTTGAAGTGTCACTTAGAAAGTTACATTGGCAGCAGTTAAATATTGAAACCTTATTTTAGAAATCTCCATGAAGAATTCTGTTTGAAAATACTCTAAGTGCGGGAGGTACACAAAGTAGGCCATAGGCCGTGCCCTCTGGAGATGTGAGTGTAGTGTGGACTCTGCAGTTTCCTCATTACCAGCAGTGGCCAGGATGTATGTGCTTGTGAGCACAGGTTGTGCTGAGGACACTGCCCACACCTTTGTACATAAAAATTCAGCAGAGGTGTTGCTTCTGCTCACGGGCTTCCCATGTGGTGTGGACGGGGCTGCGGGTGTGCAGAACACGTGTGGAGGCAGGCATGAAGAGCATGGTGCTCCTGGGCACTTAATGCAGTAAGGTTTTTGTTTAGCTCACACGTTTTGCTCTTACAGGTCAGATTTCTTGTGTTTCCCTCCTTATAATCTTGTAGGTGTTAAGTATAGTTACAAGAAATATCCAGTATTGTGCTTGAAACACAGTAGATGGGATAACTCTATGAAAGCACCTCTGTTAGTATATAGCTTATTCAAATTAACTTATAGTATCGTATGGTAGAACTTAGAGACTGTATAATAAAACTTCATTTATGGTAACTGTCTTCCTTCTCTACAGATTTGGAAGTTTTTGAATAAGGTAGGCTTATTCCCTCCCTTGTTAAAGAAAAATGATGTTATTTTGAAGAAATGCTTGGTTTTGAATCCTGTATTACGCTGGGTGACCATTTATATCATTGGATTGTAGCTATTACGTCTGTAGTCTGTATAGATGTGAAACTAAGTTCTTTAAGCATTTTATGTATAAGAAATAAGAATTTGAGACGTGATAATTCACTTTGGAAAAGGGTTTCTTTTTCATTTTAAACAGAATCTTCCTTTTTTCAGGATTCTAAGCTGCCTTCCTCGGTTCGCAGTACACTTCTGGAACTGTTTGGTCAAATAGAAAGAGAGTTTGAAAACCTTTATATTGAAAACTTAGAATGTGAGTATCTCCTGTCTTCATAAACTTCTATAAAATTTTTGGGTAGACATCACCAATGTATCTGTTTTCTGTACTTCTGCATCACGTGTAGTGATTTAGAATAACATAAATTTATTATCTTACAATTCTTTAGTCAGAAGTCTGTGTGGCAATGTCACCAGACTCAAATCAAGGTGTTGGCAGGGCTGTGCTCCTCTGGAGGTGTGAGGGGGGAGGAGTCTGTCTTCTGCTTGTTTGCATTGTGGCAGATTTCGGTTCTTTGCAGTGAGGACGGAGGTCCTCATCTTCCTGTTGGCATTCCCGGTATCTAGAGCCTGCCTCACTCTTCACCTTGAAGCCCTTCCCCTCCCGCCTCCAAAACCATCAGCAGTGGGTAGAGTCCTCCTGGCCCATCCCTGAGTCATTCCTAAGGACGTGAGGGAAGGAAGGGTCATCAGGTCATGCAGGGTGACCTCATTGAAGATCCCTCACCTTAGTCACATCTGCAAGGGCTCTTTTGCCATGGAGGCCACATGTTCAAAGGTTACTTTTGGGATGGGTACTATTCTGCTGACAACACTTTCCCATTCAAATTGTGATTTTATGAAAAATAAATATATCTTATAACCGTTCCTACATAAAGTATATCATAAATTGAGAAAATGTTGATTCATGTTTCTCTTTAAAATATACTGTATTTTGAGAATTTCCTAAAATGTATTATCTGTTTGACTTACTAAAGGTAAATCAAAAGAATTTTTAAATTAGCTTAGCTTTAATTTCTCTTTTTAAATTTATTTGAGAAGGAATGTCTTCCTTTGCTTAAAGAATCAAGCAGCATAGGGACTCCTGGCTGGCACATTTGGTGGAGCATCTGGCTCTTGATATTGGGGTCGTGAGTTTGAGTCCCACATTGGGTGTAGAGAATACTTTAAAAAAAAAAAAAGTATAAAAAGATAACTACCATTACCCTTACCTTTTGACCCATTCCATTCTGCAAAGGAAAGCATTCTGTGTGCTTTTTGCTTTTAATTCTTGTGATTATTTTTGTAAACTTAGTCCACTTTTACTTTTAGCTTGTCAGCTTTAGGCCACGTGCACTCATGCTTCCCTCTGAAATGTCAGGAAACAAACCTGTCCTTTACCCATTCATTGCTCCATTACTTTATAGTGTTTGTTATTTTTATAGGGTTTGTGTTGAAATCTATATTATGCGAATGTAACTGTTATCTGGTCTTCATGCTTTATGCTGTGATTTCAGAAATTTAATCCTAATAAATAGCATTTCCATTATTAAAATATTTTTTCTTTATTAGCATATAATGTATTATACTAAAATATTTTTTATTCTAGAACTGAATGATGTAGTTAAATCAGTAGTGAAGAGAATGTAACCCTGTGTCATTTAAACTCTGCTAGTGGACAATTTAATGTTTTATTTTTGGATTCTCCTTATAAGTCCATCTTGGAAATTTACAGAGGGAGAAATTATTCCAAGTTTTTATAAAGTAAAAATTAGGTACTGTGCACTGCTTCTGATCTTAAGGTTTTTTTTTTTTTTTAAGTATCAGTTGTAATGACCCAGGCGCTATTGAGTTTCTATTGTGATCTAAGGCCTTATGTTTTATGAATTCATGCAGTTTGTTCAAGAAAAACGATAGAATTACAGGGGTGCCTGGGTGGCTCAGTCGGTTAAGTGTCCGACTTTTGATCTCAGCTCAGGGTCATGAATTCAAGCCCTGCGTTGGCCTCCATGTGGAGCCTACTAAAAAAAAAAAGAAAAAGAGAAACTACAGGATTACAAACGACTATGCTAGAGGAACTTGAGTTTATACAGTCTCCCGCTGCCTGGTTTGGATGGCTCCCTGCGGTCTGTGAGGAACAGTCTAAAGTGCTCAGGTGGATCTGCTCAGAGCCTCTGCCCTCAGCCTCCGCTGCCTGACGCAGCCCCTGCATCTCACGGGAGCCCGAGTAGAGGGTGCACGGTGCTGGCAGGTGTCATGGCATGGTGGCAGGTGCACAGCCCTGGTGTGGGGGGCTGTGTGGCCAGGTCATGGTCCTGCTGCCTTGCTGCAGTGGCTCGTGTCCTTGGCCGAGTCCCTTCCCCAGGTGTCGCTCATCCTGTGGTCCGCAGGCCTGTTCCAGAGAAGAGCACCAGCACGAGTGTGTCTGCTGATTCCCTTGATGACTCATGGCCTTCCTCTTCCTTCCTTCCTGTGGTTCTGTACTTGTAGTCATGTTTCATAACTCCCTGAATTGTCCGTCTTCATTAGATACCATCCTTGTCTGGGGCTCTGTGTTGCCGCACAGCAGTAGTTACATTTTGTTTGTTTTGTTTTCCCCCAATTTCAGTGTTCTCAGCTAGACTGTACAAATTTCACTGAATTTTGGATAGTATCAGAAAAAAGTGTTTTTATTTTTTATTTTTTTTAAAGATTGTATTTATTTACTTGACAGAGAGACACAGCGAGAGAGGGAACACAAGCAGGGGGAGTGGGAGAGGGAGAAGCAGGCTTCCCGCCGAGCAGGGAGCCCGATGCGGGGCTCGATCCCAGGACCCTGGGATCATGACCTGAGCCGAAGGCAGACGCTTAACGACTGAGCCACCCAGGCGCCTCAGAAAAAATGTTTTTAAGTGTACAGAAGAAAGTACAAAGGAGGTGACCTAGACTGAGGCCCCAGAGCCCTGCCTGTGTGCCCTGACAGCGCAGTGTCTTCCCAGTGCGGGGAGAGGGCTGGAGTTTGTATTCTTTGAAAGGTGTCTTGAGGTTTGTGAGAACTCTAGGAACTGTGATCTTGTTTCTTAGGGTACTATTCATGTTTGTGTTGAGACAGTACTTCTGTATTAATGTTTTTATGTACTCGGGTTTTGGAAGTGGCATGTGTTACCTTTTTGAAAAAAACTTTTTTATTCCCAGTGCGTAGGGAAATCGAGACTCTTAACGAACGTTTAGCTGCTGAAGGACAAGCGATCGATGGGGCGGAACTGAGTAAGGGCCAGCTCAAAACGAAAGGTAAGGGTGAACACTCATAAAAGGATTGCCCTGCACATTCTGTGTGGGGGGAGTTTGGACTTTAGTGAAGGATGTGGACTGATGGGCTTTGTGCAGTGGGCAGGACTTGGGGCATGTAATCAGCATGGGCGTAGAGAAAAGGAGGAAGCACCAGGAAGCTTGGCTTCCTGTTGTAACCGTGCTCTGGCCCACACGCCCGCGTGGAGAGGCCCTCGCGGGTGACTGTCTTCCTGTGTGGGATGACAGATGGAGTTTGCTGTCCCCGGTCTGTCCCTACTCTGACGTTCTGTGGCCCTGTGGTTGTACAGCATTCCTGACTGTCGCTTCTTTGTCTCTGCAGCCAGCCACAGCACCAGCCAGCTTTCACAGAAGCTGAAGACCACTTACAAGGCCTCCACCAGCAAGGTATGCCGGGCGCTGGCTCTTGGGCCGCTCCTGTGGTATTTGAGGTGTGCAGATGTGTACCTGAAGCTGCATATTTTCCAGTTAGAAATGTGTAACAGACAAAGAGGAACTTCTGCTGTTTAGAGAAATTGGATTTTTGCAGGGAATATCGTAGGTATGTTAAGTGGCCACAGCCTTTGGACACCTAGATGCTCCTCTGCCCGGGTCCTTCCTGAGAGTCCAATGTTGTGCGTGAGTAAATAGCTTGTCTTTTTTGAGGGAAGAGACAGTTTGTATTGTTCTGTGGCTTGATGCAGAGACTCTGAGTTTGGAGAACGGGACTGGTGAGAAGCAGTCTGGGCCATAGGCACGTTTTCCTGTTTCGCCTCCTCTTCTCTCTCATTTTCTAAGGATCATGCAGAAGTGAAGGTCTGTCTCCAAGGCTCGTAAGGACGGTTGTGGTTTTTTTGTTTTTTTAAAAATTATCTTGTTCTGACCTTCTTAAAGTGGCAAGGATTTAATCGTTTGGGAATAAGTTTATCTGGGAGGGAGGATTGCTGTAAGGTAATATTTTAAAATGATTTCGTGTACATCTTTACTTTGGAGTATTTTGAATATACAAAAGTTAAATTAATTGTCTAACTGTAATAAATGGACATTCCTTTTGCTAAACTTGAGGGAAAAGCTGACATTTGTGGTGTGCTATGATGGCATAAAGAGTTCTTGTTAACTTTCTATGTTTCCAGTTTTTCCATGGAGCTTGAAGTTACTGAGCGTGACATCCACAGTGAGATTAACTACGATTAATAGAGCAGATTCAGTCTTATGGCTACTTCTGCTTATTTGAAAATTCTTAGTACTTGTTTGTTATTAAAAAATATGAATATTGATTACCTTTTCTTCTGTTTTCTTTGATAACTACAGTGTAAGTGGTTCATTTAAAAAATTTTTTGTTATGTATTATCTAGCTTATACTTACTAGTTTTTAAGTTTAAACAACTTTAAACTTTTCAAAATGTATTGTAAGATTATGTTCTTCCTCACCTAACTTCTCGTTTTATTATCTTGACTTATATTGTTTATTCCAGTGGGTACAGCATACATATTCAACATACAGTCTTAGAATTTGGAAACCTTCAGAGCTTTTCTGAAGTTGATGAAAGGAGTGTATAAAGTTGTCCCTTACTAGCAATAATGACAAACAAGATTTGGGCCAAGGGAAGGATATGTACTATAATACTCGGCTTAAAAAAAAAATGTATTTAAGTATATTTAAAGCCCCAGTCATTTTAGATCCACAAATTAATCTCTCTGTATAAGAAACATGTAATTAATGATCTTTATTGTGTGCATTAAAGAATAATGTTGTAAGATGTTAGCTGAAAATTGAAGAAAGACTCCGATACCAGAGTATATTCTGATCCATGCTGCAGTGTGTGTATTCTTGGTGGTAGCACTAAGTGTGTGTTCAACAAGGAGGTAGTGAGCTTGAAGGCAGCATTACCTGCCTCCTCACTCAGCCCTGACAGCAAGTGGTGTGCTTGGTGCTTGGTGCACCCATGTGCTCTCAGCAGACCAGAAGACCTGGGGCCCTGAGGATGGATCGCTCATGTCTGTCCAGGGCTGGAGGCATGCCCTTCTAACTGGCAGTCACTCTAGAGAAACTTGTGAAATGTTCACACATGTTTTTATAAAGATGACTATCTCTCACTGTGAAGAACCCCTCTCTGATTTTGTTGAAGTACTTTAGATTGTATCTTAATTAAAACCATAATTAGGTTGATAGGTATAAGCATCACTTTGTCACTTCGTTCTGCTTTTCTGTCATGAATGTGCACTCTGCAAGATCCAGTCTTTTGTGGGGCCTCTTTGCTGTCGCGATGGAGTCAGGATTTTTAAGAACAAAGAGTTAATAGGTATTCAAAGTGTAGTGGGCAGTTGGAAGCAACACATGAAATGATTTGTTACAATATTCATAAATTGCATATTGTCCACTTGCAAAATCCCACTGGAATCGGGGTTGGCATGAGTCTTGAGCAGTGACCTTCTGTTCTTCCTGTCTGGGTGGGGTTGGCGAGGAGCATGGCTTCAGTAGCTCATGTCTCCGGACAACAACGTCTGTGTTAGAAATGGCAGGAGGCTTCACACTTACTGTGGGGCAGGCTTCGCACGTTCTCCAACTCCATTCTGTCCTACGTGTTACGTTATTGAACATCCGATTGGCACCTTAGGCCAGCCAACGCACTTTTCCTTGTCATGGAGGGACGGTTTCGCTAGTTTGGGTGGGATAGGAGCTTTCAGAGGGAAAAAGAAGATGACAGGTTTGTGTTTGAGCAAGTCCTTTTGTAAAATTCAAACGGAGTCAGATGTATTTCTTCCAAAAGAGCCTGTCTTCGTTAAACACGTTTTATTCCTTCTCGGCGTCAGAGGTCAGTTTGAATGTTCACACCCAAATTGATGTAACAGTAGATTGTGTTGTAATGTCTTTATTCTAAGAATGAACTTAGATTCATTTTCAGGGCTTTGCTAAATAGTGTTTGAAATAGCTGTTTAACACCAAGTTTTCTTTTTCACTTGATTTTATAGTTTCATTATTCTGATTAATCTCCATTATTCTGATTTGCTTAAAAGCTGAAAAGTCGTTCTATCTGAGAACAGTTTAAAAACCAAACTCTGAAGAGTTGTGTTTAATTAGTTTCTTTCTCATGCACTTTCTGTTTTTCCTTGTACGAGAAAGTGGGATTTGTTTGCTGTGTGTATCGTACGGGACGATGCCTCACCCTCGTGCACACCTTTGTGGTTCTCCTGTCTGTTTCTGTCAGACTGTGAGCTGCCCGGGGCCTGCTGTGCTCTGTGTGTGTCTCCTAGTGCAGCGCCAGTACCAAGCATGCACTCAATAAACAGTGCTGGACAAACCTCACCTGGTAGAAGTGTCGTCTTTGGATTCCTCCCCACCTTGGGCTCTTTGCCTCCTGATAATACGTGGTTGGTGTAAATTACCAAAAATGGGAAAAAAATGAAGGTTCCCCAATAATAAAAGTGGTTTTAAGGGTGTGGGTATGCTCTCCTGACTTTCATGTCCTGGTAGCTCTTTTTTTTTTTTTTTAGAGAATTTGGAAATTTGATGGCTTGGATTTGTGGAAGAGACTTGCAGTGTGTAAACAGACCCTTCTCTCCATGGGAGGACACATGTGCTCTGCCGGGGGTTGGGGGGGGCCTTTCGAGGCCTTAGGGTGGCCTTCGTTCTTACTTTGTGACGTCCGGCTGGAGGGATGCTGCTGTTTGCCCTTATGTTGTGTTCCCTTAATGCTTTAAATATCCTGCTCAGGGACTCATGCAGTTCAAGATCTCTTTTTCTGTTGTACCTTTTTAGACCTAAAAACATTCAGCCAGTAAATTGTCTGTAATACTCCTTCCCGTCATGGTTTTAGATCGTCTCCAGCTTCAAGACCACCACGTCGAGGGCCGTGTGCCAGCTTGTGAAGGAATACATTGGCCACAGGGATGGTATCTGGGACGTCAGTGTGGCGAGGACACAGCCCGTGGTGCTGGGTACCGCGTCTGCTGGTGAGTCCGCCGCAAGCCCCTCTGCTTGCCGGGCGCGACGGCCCTGCCGGTGTCGGTGGCGGACCGGAGGCCGAGCATCACTGTCACCAAAGCACTCGGCGCTGCCGTGCCCCGTTGGGCCTTGCCGCTGTGACGTGGTGTCGGGTGGGCGGACGCTGGCTCTGGGGTCAGGCAGCTGCGTTAGCCATCACTGTTCACGGCAGCATGAGGGAGCATGTCTGTGACACAGACTAGGTATTTTTTTGACTGGCTTTCTTGTTAGTCATGGTCGAGCGCATATCTGCCTGAATTGATGTATAGCTGAAGGAGGGGCCTTGTGGTCTCTGAAGTGGGCCCGTTGCTCTAGGGTTTAGGCGGAAGCTGGACCACTGGTGGCCCTGTTTGCCTGTGGGACTCCTGGGGCAGGCGTCCAAGAGCCTTTTTTTCTCATTAAAGAAAAGATAGTTTTTGAAAGCTATCCAAGCTGCATAACCTAATACCCTTTCACATAAAAATTGCTAAAGTTAAAAATGGTGCTCACTTGTTGAAAATGACTTTACCAGCCTGTGAGAAGTTACTTACTAGGTTCTACTTTTTGAAGTAGAAGTGGAAAATGTTGCAGCAGTTAGACCCATGAAGAAAGTTCTCTTTCTTGTTTGAAATTATGTTCACACATGAGCTCCCCAGCGTGTTCTGGAAATTACAATTAGGAAGAAAAGAAAGGATTTTCCTGTTATGTAAGAGGAAAGGTCCAAAGGAATATTTGTATCTCAAATGCTTGTAACTGGATTTGAATTTGCATTTCAGTGCTGCGTGATGCTTTGGAAAGTGTTAATTCAACAAAAACAATGGAGCTGTCACTTAAGGACCCGGGGGAGGTGCAGTCCTTGTGACAGTATGTTGAGGGTCCAAGTCTCTGGGTTTCCGTTTGCCACTTCCCAGACCTCGGACAGGTCACCAGCTTTTGTCTTCTGGGAAATGTTTTCTTTGGTCAGTTAAATTACAGAGTAGTATAGAGTTGCCAGAGATACTAGTGATAATGTAACTTCTCACTTACGTTAAAAAGACCATAAAATTGGTTATGGGTCAGTTACTCTTGTTTTTTGGATCTTGCAGATCACACGGCTCTGCTGTGGAGTATAGAGACGGGGAGGTGCCTCGTCAAGTACTCGGGCCACGTGGGGTCAGGTGAGCAACACAGGGTGGGCGGTGTCTTCTGATGGGAGGTGTGCTGATCTGGCTGTGGGGCCCACGGGCACTCGTGGGCGGTCAGAGTGATGCTGCCTGCGCAGCGGGAGCCTCGTTGGGGAATAGCATGCGAGTAGGAATTGTCTGTGTTTCCTTTACCGTTGCCTAGAAAGCCGCATGTCAGCAAATTTGGAACTGAAATGTCTACTTTTGTCAAAGACTGTGTATTCATTTCAGAGGTTCCCTTTTAGGGTGGTGTTGCTTTGCATGTAGTGGGGCCCAGGGAGGGCTGCCGTCCATCCCCGGGCTTTCTCCCTGCGGGTAATGCACGGCGGTTGCAGCAGCTCTGCCCTGCCCCCTGAGCTGCCCCCTTGCCTACACCTTGTGTTCTGACCGCATGTCGCCCACTTCCCTCCGGGCGCCCTTGGTGGTTCCTTTTTCCTGGCCTCCTCTCCACTCCAGGCTGTCAGGTTGCCTCCCGGCTCCCTCTCCCCTCGCCAGCCACCGCCACAGCCCTCCCTTTCGTAGACACGCGCAGGTGGCGCCTGCCTTCTGCGTCCGTGGCCGCGTGTGCCCCACCTGCAGACTTCGCCCGGTGGGGGCGCGTCTTTTGTCCTGTCTGGGCTGTGACCCACACTCTTCCCTCTCTCAGGGTCTCGTTCCCTCGGGGGTCCCTGCTGCCTGCTCACGCCCCTCTGCGTGTGCGTGTCCTCCCTGCCGCATGCAGCTTCTGTCTCCACGGGGGGTCTGGGTGGGCGGGTCGACGCTCACGGCTTTGCGGACGTTCTCAAGGGAACGTGTGCTGAGCCTTTGTTTCCCCACCGCGCACGTATTTGTTGAAGAACATCGATACGGTGCAACACGTGCACATCGCCTACAAATTAAGAGGGTGTCAGCAGCCTGTACAGTGTGTTACCGCAGGCTCCTGCCTCTCCTTCGTACTCCCTTTCACTTCCCCAAAAGTGAAGCCCCTTTGAACAGCTTTATGTATTCTGCTTTTTGCTTCCATTTTCCCAAATAGCCTATTCTATTATTTCTGAGGTTTTGAGTCTTAGGTGATTCTCACAGAGGCAGTGAGGACCCACTCCCTTGCCACATAGGTTACTCTCCACTCTTGTCCTCGCAAGTAGCTGCAGCGCGATTCTCATTCAGATCCCAGTACGGCCACATGGTATTGTTCACAGCTGCTCACGTACGTGCCCTCCTTGCAGTTGCCTTATTTTTATTTGGCCTGGTTTCTGTGTCTCTTCCAAATCCATCCCCTCGCTCCACCCCTGTGGTCTGGCCACGGGATGACCGTCTGCTCCCATGGCCAGACTCGACAAGCTCTCGTCCCTTCCCTAGAGCCTCCCATGCTGCCGGACGGCTTCGATGCCCTGCTCTTCGTGGGCTGCCCTGCGTGTGTTCCTTCCACGTCCTGCGGCCAGCATGTGGGTTGCGGCACTGCCCTGGGTGTGGTGAGGCCGGGTGATGGGAGTTGGGGCGCTCGCATGTCTGGCCTTCCCTTCTCCTGAGGGTGCTGTCCTCCGGGCGCCATCTGTGTAGGGCTTGTGTCCTGGCTTTTGCTTTACCCCCTGTGCGGTGCTCTGATGACATGGTGAAGGTCCGTTTAACCCCACTCCACCCCACCCCAGGATTTCTCATCCATGTGACTCACCACAGGTGGTTTGACATTTGTCTGTCCTGGCTCGTTCCTCTCGCATCACCTGACCAAGCGCCCTCCTGTGCATTGGCCCCTCTGCCTCAAGGGTCCCATGCTGAGCGTTGCAGCTGCCCCTGCTGGAGCCCTCCCAAGTCAGGCCTGCTGTGCAGGAGATGGTGCTTTCTCCCATGTCTTGTTCTCCTTCACGTTTGTGTTAGAGTTAGGCCCACAAACAATAGATGAGGTGTCTTCGAAGCTCGTTGTGAAGACCGTTCGTCTCTGGTGTCCTCTCCCTTTCTGCTCCCTCTGTGGCCACTGTGTGTTGAGTTAGCTGCATGTTGGGGGCTGCTGCATGTCTTTAGGGTGCTCGCGGGGCTCGCCGTCCTTTTCTTCATTAGCCACAGTGCGCTGACTCTGGCAGGGGGATGGTGTCGCTGCAGCCCGCCCTCTGCTGGTGGCACCTGAGTTCGCCTCTGGTGCAGTCGTGGCACTGTTCTTGGGTAAGATCAGTGCTCAGTTTTCACTTTATTAGACCTGTGCAAACACTGCTGACAGTTAGCCAGCACCGTGGCTGTGAGCAGTCATTAAGCACCCACTGTATGCCAGATTCTTGGCCGAGCACTCAGCGTGCGTTCTTTGACACACACCTCATGGAGCCTGTAGAAATGTGGTGTCCATGCTCCCTGCGTCACTAGGAAGGTGCTCAAGGTCACACAAACATCAGGGTGCAAAGTGGCCGCTGGTCTTACCAGTTGCTCCTTGGCACTGGGAGTGTTATGTTTATTGTAGGCATTGTTTATGGTTTGCTGTTTTTAAGGAGGTCGTTTTCCACGAGTTCTTCCCACATTTTCTGTCACCTAGAGTTAATAGTGAAAGCATCTTCTAGCATTTTCCAGTCCCTCAGAAAAACAGAATTCCAGGGGCGCCTGGGTGGCTCAGTCGTTAAGCATCTGCCTTCGGCTCAGGTCATGATCCCGGGGTCCTAGGATCAAGCCCCACGTCGGGTTCCCTGCTCCGTGGGAAGCCTGCTTCTCCCTTTCCCACCCCCCCCCCGCCCCGCTTGTGTTCCCTCTCTCCTGTCTCTCTCTCTCTCTGTCAAATAAATAAATAAAATCTTAAAAAAAAAAGGAAAAAACAGAATTCCAGTGGCGTAGCTGACAGAATCATCCTGAAGGCACTTGCTGAAGTTTGCTGAAACTTCCTGTGTATTCTGTGCACGCTGTGCGTGTCTTCCCTTTGTGGGTGTGAGGGCTGGCTGCCCCACGTGCCCTGACCCAGGTCAGCTCTGGGTTGGGGTGCCTGGGAGCCGCTCCCATCCTTCTTCCTGGGAGAGCTCGGTGGCAGGCAGGGAGGTTTCAGCAACCGGGTTCCAGTCTCTGCACACTCCAGCTGCCGTCTCGTCGCTAAACTGTCAGGATGAGGGGAGGGCTGCACTTCTCTCCTACTCCCTCATCCCATCCAGCAAAGGAGCACCACCTGGGAAGACTTGGGCAGATTGCCACAACTGGAGAAGGAGACTGGCCACACTGATCCTGACTCTTCCCAAGCTGGCAGGCGCCTGCCAGCTTTGTCCGTTCCTGGGGTCTCCTGGAACGGGACAGGAGGCAGGGTGGCCTTTTGCCTGATGGGGTGGGCGGTCAGCCACGTCCCTCTACTATATTCTGTCTCTGTCTGTTGTCATAAGTGTTTTCATTTCTGTCCTGACTTACTTTTAACTCTAGGTGGCTTCCTTATCTATAAGAAGAAGTAGATTATTTATATTTTTCTTCCGTGTGTCCTATACTTTGGCAGTGTGATAGTTGATAATTGTGTTTTCATGTATCTCTAGTCTCTTATATGTTTACTCATAGCTTAATTATATAGGAGGATCTAATATTGAACTATTATAGTTCTTTTAACTTTTAAAGTGACCTTGTAGTTTGTGCTGTAGCTTTGATAAGTATTGTTGATATGTTATTTTAAACCTGTTTTTGTAATATTTTTATTTTGCAGTAAATTCTATAAAGTTTCATCCATCAGAGCAGTTGGCTCTTACTGGTATGTTGATTTTTTTCTTTATTGAACAAAATTATTGATAATCTTGAAATAGCTGTAGTCATCCCTTTCTTGTCCATGCCTCATATGAAAGTCAGATTGGTAGCCATTTTATGCAATACTCAAGGAATGGAGAAGGAAAAACATGTCAAATAGAACCTTTTTAAACCATAGTGGATTGTGAGTTAGATGAGTTTGACTCTTGTGTGAGATTGCAGGTGACCCACTGTGAGGTTGCCTTACAGAGCACATGGTGGTCACCGGCCTTCCTGCTCACACTGTGGTATTTCTCAGAAGACTGACCTTGCTTTTCTCCAGCCCTGTCACTGCTGCCAAGTTCCTAATCCTGTATGCACCTGAAGCAGAGACGCGGAAATAGCCCCAGGTCATGGCGCTTTGCAGGGCCAGTGTTTTTACTTCTTTCTGGGGAGCGCTCCTGGGCCCTGGTAGCATGGGTTTGCCATAATTTTATGTTGGACGGAGGAGTCTTCCTGTAAAATCGTCTGACACCTGATTTTTGGGGACCCTGACAGTAATCTTGAAGGATAAATGTTTGGTGAGTGGAGGTCAGTGAGCTTTCTTGTGAAGGACCAGAAGTAAATGTTCTCATCTTTGAGGGCCCCATGGTCTGTGTCACAACTTCTTAGCTCTGTGTTAGTGTGAAAGCAGCAGAGGGGGTGCCCAGGTGAGCGGCCATGGTTGTGGGCATTAAGCCTTATTCTCACAGTGGGTTGTTGCCTGGCTTTGGCCTGTAGGCCAGATTTTGCTACCCTGGGGTAGAGGATGAAAATGGGGTTAATCAGGTGCTTTTCCATGTGAGCAGAGTATGGTGGGAAAGTCAATTTGAGAGCCTTCTGTGTGAACAGGCCTTGACCACAGTAGCTAGTTGATGCCTGAATAAACAATTGGAGAACTTTACACCTTGTGAAATGGTTTGGTGTGTGACTGTGAAGAGGGAGGGTGGAGGGAGACCAGTGACAACCAGAGGTGGGGCAGGGAGGAAATCAAGACATTCTCATAAGGGCTGATGGAAGCTGAAGCAGAGCATGTAGTGGGCTGGAGAGGGTCACGTGGGCCGATGCTAAGCGAGCTCGCAGGTCAGGCCCTGAGCTCGCTTGACACCACAAGAAATGTGCCACAAGTCCACGTGTGGCCGCTTTGGGGAACTTCTGCAGCCACAGAGAGAAGTGGGTTCAGGCAGGTCCTCCGTCTGGCACATCTGTGGGCCGGTGTGTGCCCTTCACTGTCCTTTCTCTTTCCGGTCCCCAGTCTGAGCAGCACTTTGCACACTTGGCTCATGAAAGTAAGGTTTCAGTACTCAATGGGGGCCCGGCGGGTTGTGAGCCCATCAGTGTGGAGTGGAGGAGAGCACACGTTTGCGTGAGACTCGCTTTTCTAAAATACCTCGAAACTACTGTGGTCATAAGCTGAAGTGTAGTTGGGTTCCAGTTTACTTAGGTTAGATAGATGGAGAATAAAATCTGTTTGTAAGTTTCTTCACAACCTTTTACCCTAAAATGAAAGGGGGGATATTTTTAACCGCTCTTTATATACATTTAGCCTGTTATCGGTAGCATCATGCAGTCTCAGATGTAGCTCAGGATCACTGAGTTACAGAGCCTAGCAGAAAGCACATTTTACACATGGTGTGCACTTCGGGTAATTGTGCCCTAATTTCTGTCCTCAGCTTCTGGAGATCAGACTGCCCACATTTGGAGTTATGCCGTTCAGCTGCCGACACCCCAGCCCATTGCCGACACTACTGTAAGCAGCACCTTTACTTACCCTGAAAGCGCGACATGGGGTATGTTGGTAGGGTTCTGGACATTTGCAAAGTTTAGGATAAATTTATAATGTCTTACAGACTGGATGTATGTGACCCCTCCCTTTGCCCCCCGCATCCCATAGTTTGAAGCCCTCACCTCCCAGTGTGACTGTATTTGGAGGTGGGCTTCTATGGAAGTAATAAGGTCCTGAGGCTGGGGCCTGATCCCAGAGGATCGGTGTTTCCTCTCCCTGCGTGTGCCCAGGAGAGGCCATGGGAGTATGTCGTGACAAGCCAGGAAGGCCACACCTTGATTGTGGCCACCCAGTCTTGGTGTTTTGTTCTGGCAGCCCGCACAGACCAAGACAGTGCTTTCCTTTGTGTGTGTGTTGTTTGTTCTCACCCCCCTTTCCATTGGCCATTAATGTTTAAAAATTCTACGATTCCGTCCTATTTCTAAATATTTCGTGTATTTTAGACAACATGTCTTTCATGTAAGGTAAACAGTGTGTGTCATTATCACCTGGGTGAAGTTTTAACGCAGGTAACGGGAGGTTGCATATGGAGAGGAATGATGGGTGGGTTTAAACCACAGAGCCTTCGATGACCTTTGTCCTGTCAGATGCAGCGGTTCCCCTAGCCCAGCACCCTGTGTTTATTGTCTTGCAGAGACCACCTCCCTAGCTTCCTCTGCAGGGCAGTGTTCTGCCAGCTGGGGTTCACGAGTGGCTAGCCTGTCCCTGTGTTGCGCATGCAGGCAGGGGCACGCGCCAGGCAGCCGAGCGCAGCTGGAGCATGGTGTGCGCTCTGGCTGTAGCTTTCGGGAGGACGGCAGTCACCCTGCGCTTGGGGTGCTTCCACCTTTGAACATTCCGTGGTTGCTTTTTTTATTTTGTTCTAATTATTTTAAAAGATTTATTTATTTTGAGAGAGACAGAAAGAGCATGAGTGGGGGGAGAGAGTATCTCAAGCAGATTCCCCCCTGAGCAGGGACCCTGACGTGGGACTTGATCCCACGACCCTGAGATCATGACCTGAGTAGAAATCGAGAGTTGGACGCTCAACTGACTGAGCCATCCAGGTGCCCCTATTTCTTTTTTTAAAGCAGCTTAAACATTGGTTTCTTTGAAGATATATTAAGTAATTAATACATTCCAGTGATGGGTAAGAAGTGAAGAGGTCTAAACAGTTCTTTTTTTAAAGAGTTTATTCATTTGTCAGAGAGCGTGTGCAAGAGCAGGGGGGAGGGTCAGAGGGAGAGGGAGAAGCAGACTCCCTGCTCAGCAGGCACCCCCTCCCGCCCCCCCCTGCCCACGGGGCTCGATCCCAGGACCCTGAGATCATGACCTGAGCCAAAGGCAGACACTTCACCGACTGAGCCACCCAGGTGCCCCTGAACAGTTCATTTTTAATTGAGCACGTTGTGTCTTTTGTCTTAACATGTTTTTCCCTTGTGGAATAACCAGACTGTCACCTGCTGTGGGAATTCACTCAGGAAATAGTGCTGACAGAGGACAGGGCAGAGGGGAGGCGAGGGTTCACGCTCAGAAAGTTCAGAGAAGGTGTTAACACTGTATGGATTTGTTTTCAAACAAAATAAGAAACATGCCAGTTTTGGCAGAGGAAGACAGATATGTCCAGTACTTATGTTACAGAAACTGAACGGATTATTTACAGTATTAGATCGACTTTCTTTTTTTCTTTATGATTTTGCTTGCCTTGGGCTGCCTCAGGCTTTGGGGGTAATCCAGGAGAGCGCCTTCCGAATGGAGCTAAGCCTGTGTCCATCAGTGACCAGAGCCGCCCCAGCAGCCTGGCCACGGAGGGGTCGGAAGGGTCGGAAGGGTCGGCACGGCCTGCCCTCTGTAGCCCCACCCAGCACAAACCCTGCCGCTAGTCATCATAAGCTTTTGCTGGCTGGTGTTGGCTCAGGTTTTCTTAACAGTTCTCCCTCATGTGAAAACAAAACTCTCATCTGCTAAGATTTTGTTCATTTTCATCAGTACAGTTTTTAGACAGATGTTTTCTCTTCTTTTCTTAAAAAGATTTTATATTTGAGAGAGAGGGAGGGAGAGAGCCTGAGAGCAGGGCTGGGGGGAGAGGCAGACTCCCTGCTGAGTGCAGAGCCCGACATGGGGCTTGATCCCAGGACTCCAGGATCATGACCTGAGCTGAAGGCAGACGCTTAACGACTGAGCCACCCAGGTGCCCCTGTATGTTTTCTTTTTATTTTGGACCAGCGAGTTTCACTTGGCATCCACCACACTGATAAAGAAATATTTGGGTGGTGTAGTGGAAACAGTTCTAGATTATCTGTTAAGTCACCATGTAACACCAGTTGTGTGATGTTGATTAACTAATTTAACCTAGTGAGTGGCTTAACTTTCCTCTTTGGAAAGTAAAAATTGAAGCGAGTTACCTAAGCAGCTTGCAGGGGCCCTTCCTGCCCGGGAGCCCCGATTTCAGTGAGTGAGTCGGGGCTTCCTCAGTTCTGGGGCTGCTGGTGCTCAAGAGATACTTGGTATGGACTTGGCAGTGCTGGACGTTCAGTTCCAGTGTTGCTGACAGTGAAGGTGGTTCAGGTTAAACAGATCGTCCCTAAGACACTAACACATGAGCAGTTCTCACCCTCCATTCCCTGCCTTTTGTCACGTTAGTGTTAAAAGATCTTATAATTATTCGTGAATAGGACTTAGCACATTTGCATTTTAAGATATCTTGTAGTTCCTTGTGTAGTTTGGGAAAATGACTTCTGTAAAGGTTCTGTCACCTTTCCAACATGGATCCTGATAGCTAGACCTTTCTAAAGTGGGAGCTCCAGGCCACTCTTCTGAGACCCGAGGTCTGTCCCCTGGACCTGCGCTGAGGACATCCCTGCGTTCATGCTTACGTGTTACCTTTCCTTCCAAATACTTTGGGGAAGAGCCCAGTAGGTGCACTCCTGCGGGTCTGGGTAACTGAACAAAACTCTCAGGACGTTTGGGATTATCTTCGACGTGTCTCTTCTTTCCCTTCCTGTCTTCCTCTTCCACCGTTTCCACTAATCTGTGACAGCTTACTGCTGCTGATTCTTACGTGATTCTTGGATGCACTTCTCTTTGTCCCCCGGATGCCCCTTCTGTAACATCAACCCAGAGATGTCTGTTGAGCCATGGCCCCAGCCGGCACCCCTCTTCTGCACCTGCCCAAGGCACCGTCCAGACCACCCCTGCCTGCTGGGGGCAGTGAGGTCGGGAAGCTCCCCAGGAGCGGCCGTGGGAGCTGAGAAGCCTTGTGGCCCAGGGGCTGGTGTTTCCTGGAGGAAAGCCCCGAGTTGGGGCATCCCCATGCGGGATTTGTAGTGACCATGTTGCTCCTCCTGTCTGGAAGTGGTTACCAGTCAGGGTCCTTTCACCTTGAAAACAGTACACTTCTGGGACCTGTCTTCATGCTGAAGGGCGGCTGCTGTGTTAACCCCGAGCTGTCTTCATGTCTAGTGCCCAACCCTAACTAACTAGTCTCCCTGTCTCAGGCCTGGCTGCTCACATTGTATTCTGTCTGCACGATGTCAGGAGTGGTCTTTGTGGAGTTGCACTTGTCACCTTGGCTAGCCCTTTGCCAGTCCCTAGCCTTAGTTTGTGGCTCTCCCCGGCTCCAGCCCCGACGGGACGCTCTTGCTGTACTTCCCTCTCCATGGGTCCGCTCGGCCTTTTTCCTGGGTGCTCTCCACCCTACTGATGCTGCTCTGCACAGACCACCCGCCTGACTCAGAGTGCCTTGCATTTTGCTTCGTAGTCTTTACTGTGCTTTGAAATCGGTAACTCTGCATAATTACGTATGTCTGACTTCACTGCGAGATTGTGAGTCCCTGTCTCCCTGGAGAAATCCCACCTGTGGTTCCACCAGGCTTTTCCTCAGCTTCCTGCACTTGACCTGTGAGCGCCCCGAGCTGTGCACTCCCAGCATGCTGCCTCAGTTGGCCACTGCCACACTCAAGGATTTCCACCTCCCCGCGGGCCTTTTGTCCACATCCTTGTAGGCAGTACTCAGACCTGGCACAGCGGCATCCATCCTTATGCCCGGTTTTCCTACACAGACCTTGGACCTTTCATGCTCTGAGTACCTCCTCTTGGCTCGGCTATGTGTCCCTGCTGCTTGGGGCTGTGCTCATCGGCATCCCCTCCACGCTGCCCAGCTCAGTCAGCCCTTGGACTCCTTCTTATTTACATTTGATGCTCTGATCCTCTGTTAACGTCTGTGTTTCTCCCACTTCCTTTCTCTTGAGTCTTGTTGGTTGGGTCACATCCGAACCCTTGTGAGCTGTGCGCCTGTCATTTCACCTCTGCCCTCTCCGCCTCCATGACCTTGTTGTTTGTGTAGCGCAGTCTGCTCCTGTCGTGGGGCTTTTGCACCTGCTGTTCCCTCGTCTGGGAATGCTGTTCCCCGAAATGTCTGTGTGCCTTCCTCCCTTGTTTTCTTCATGTCCCACCTCAAATGTTACTTTAGCAGAGTCTTTTCTGGATAATTTTGTATAAAATAGCAGCTTTTATGACTGTCCATCCCTTCGTCTGCTTTATTTTCCTTACTAGTGCTTATTACTGCCTGACTTTGTGTGTGTGTGACATATCTTTATACTGCGTGTGTGTATGTGTGAGCTGTACCCCCCTTGTGTGTATGTGTGACATATATTCTTGACCTATGTTCCTATATGATGTTCACATGTGACCTGTATCTCTATACCGTGTGTGTGTATGGGGGATATAGTTCTCTGTACCCTGTCTTTAACACTAGTGTGTGTGATTAATGGTATATACTTCCATACTAGTGTGTGGGCGATGCGTGCATGCATGCCCATGTGTGTGGTCTGTCTTCCTTGCTAGCGTGTAAGCTCTGTGACACGAGGACGTTGCCGGTCCCTGGCTCCAGCGCTGTCCACACTGCCTGTCCGTTGTTCTGGATGTCCGTGTCAGACAGTGGTTCTCTCTCTCTCCTCTGCTCTGAGACCGGCATGTGGCCTGGCAGTGTGTAAGGGCCGGATAAAGATTCGTTGAAGGAGTAGATAAACATTTTTTTAAAGAGCCGAAGCCTTTTATGCTTTCATTTTAGCTTTTGACAAAAGACCTCATTGATACTATAGGAAAATAGGTGAACTCTTGTATCTATTCCTATAGCAACGGAATTCTAAGTAGCTCCTGAGAATTGAAATGTTTCTTTTCTTATTGTGATAAATTACTGACTTTCAATTATATTTTATTACATTTCTATTTATACATGGTGAAAACTCAAAATCATTTTATTTGCCATATTTTGGTTAGTGGAAGTGGACGGTAGCTCATTTGATGTCATAGCGGCCTTAGTTTTTTTCTTATACTTGGTCGTGGTTTTTAGCCAAGTAGATAATCATAAAATTGATAAATTGTGAGCTCCGGTTAAATACCAGATACTGTGCTGGTAGTGGTCATAATGAGGATCGAGTCCTAGAAAGACAAATGACAACAGTCTGATTGTGTCGCCGTGTCAGAAAAGACGCAAGATTCCCAGGGAATTTCTTCTCTGCTCTCACCATCAGCAGCAGATCTGTGGCGAAGACGAAGTAGAGTGTTCTGATAAAGATGAGCCTGATGTGGACGCAGACGTGTCCAGTGACTGTCCTACCATCCGGGTGCCACTGACATCTCTTAAGAGCCACCAGGGAGTGGTCATAGCTGCTGACTGGCTGGTTGGGGGGAAGCAGGCGGTGACGGCCTCCTGGGACAGAACGGCAAATCTATTCGACGTGGAGACGGCAGAACTGGTGCACTCTCTGACAGGTACTTTAAACGTTTGCGTTTTCCAGTTGTGTTTTTTTGATTGATGTGCATGTGTTTACATCTTACCTTTCCAATTCCCTCTTGTTCAGTTCCCATGGTACTCAGGTTGTGATTTTTCAAGGATTCTTTCTGAATTATAGAACTGTTTGTTAGCTAAATTTGTCCTGTCTTTAGGGGATTTAATTGTAGCACTTTATATCTAGATATTTGAAAAATAGTTGGTCTGTTAGCTCCCTATTGCTTTGTAGCAAATTTCCAGAAAATTAGTGTCTTAAGATAACAAGAATTTATAACGTCATGGTTTCCCTGGGTCAGGAGTTCTGGGCATATGCTCGCTGGCCCTCGTGGGTGAAGTGGTGTTTGCTGCCTGGGGCTATGATTTCATCTGAGGGTTAGAGTCCGCCCTCCTACTTACCGTTGTTGGAAGGATTCATTTTGTTGTGGCCCATGGCTGAGGTCCCCGTATGGCTGAGGTCCTTATTTTCTTGCTGTCAGCTGGGGACTGCTCTTAGCATCCAGAGGGTGCCCTCAGGTCCCTCGTGGCCCCCTCCAGAGGTGTTTCCCCACATAGGTGTTTGCTGTCTCTCCAGGTTCCTGGAGAACATCTCTTCTAAAGGGCCCACCTGATTAGATCAGGCCACCCAGGACAGTTTCTTTTGATTAACTTAAAGCCACCTGATTTGGAGGTCTTAGTTACATCTGCAAAATCTGTTTTGCCTTTTAATGTATCGAGCTTACCGGAGTGATATCTCGTCACATTTACAGGTTCTGCCCAAACTCAAGGGAAGGTATCATCCAGGGTGTGTATACCAGGGATGGGGGTCACCGGGACATCTTAGAATTAAGCCCACCTCAGATGTTTTTGCAAATTTGTCAGTAAGTGAATTTCCTCATTGAGTGTTAAAGATTGTATTTTACTAAGGGCTCCACATATCATATTATTAGAAGTTATTCTGGAAGTGAAGAATTAAGACTTAATCTGTTCACACACTAAGCCTGCTAAAGAGATTTGCCGGACCTTCTAACTGTCAGGATCAGGAAGTGGGTTACACTCACACCCCTTTTCCTGACCCCTTTAAATGCATGAATGAAAGGACTTCCAGTTCTTGAGGGAAAACCAATCCCACCGTGAGCTCACATGCTATTTTTAAGTGATTTCTTACTTTTTCCTACCTCTATTCACGTTTACAAAATTAGCAGTAGCGACCATAAAGACTTGTTTGATTCTTGTGTTCTTAAGAAAACATCACTCTAACTGTACCTGCAGGTGGATGATCTTGCATTTTTGTCGTCTTTGGTTGTAGGGCATGACCAGGAGCTAACGCACTGTTGCACACACCCCACCCAGCGGCTTGTGGTGACCTCCTCCCGGGACACGACTTTCCGTCTTTGGGATTTCAGGGACCCTTCCATCCACTCCGTGAATGTCTTCCAGGGCCATACGGAGTGAGTCACAGTCATTTAGAGATCTTTCTTTAACTATTCGTAAAAAAGGTTTTGCGGGTGGATATTAAAACTTAATTCTTACCTTAATTTCCAGCTCCACTGTCTTCCAAAATGGCTGTTCTTTTCCTAAACGTTTAGCTCCATTTGTATATTTGCAAGAACTTAGAAGACAAAGTCACTGAAGTTCCCACAAGGAATTGGATGGGGGTAGAATGGGGCAGTGGGGGAGATCAGGAAATACACTAGGGTTGGTGGCACTTATGTCCTCTGCTGAGAGGGTCCAGCCAGGGCTGGGGAAGAGACACACGTGTGTGTGTGTGTGTGCGCGCGACACGCACACACACATGCACATGCTCTCTCACACACTCACACACATAAATGCACATGTGCTCTCACACACACATGCACACACTGTCACACACAATCTCTCACATGCACAAACACTATCACACATGCACACGCTCACACTACCACACATGCACACACACTGTCACACACTCACACTATCTCACTCTCACACAACACTCATGCTCACACGTGTGCACACACACTCTCTCTCACATATGCACACACTCCGGCCTTCATCTTATAGTGCCTCCCTCTGCTTGGCCATCTCTTGGGCAGCTCAGGCATAACTGTGTCTTAACAGAGCTCTTATTTCCTTCCGAAAACTTTTCTCCTGGCCTGACCATTCCTGACAAATTACATGGGCCTCTGTTTGGTTACTCGTCTGACAGATGTCCCTAGTTCCCCACTGTGCCCCATCCATTCCATGAGTCCTACCTCCTGACTGTCTTGTCACCTGTTCCCCTGCCACTATTGTCCCTGCACGCTGCCCCTCAGGACCGGACTGTGTCTGTTTCTCCATGGCCGTGTGTGTCCTGCTTGAGCTTCTGCATGTCCAGAAAAGCTCCCGCATGCTCAGTAAACACGTCTTAATGAATGAACACTTGCCTATTTGGCTGCTTGAAAATACGGGTTTTCTTCGTTCTTTCGTATGATGCAGTAAATGAGTCTGTTTCATGTGTTAGAATGCTAAGATTTCATGTTCAGGATTAATGAAATGTTCGCAAGGAAACTGGGACAGAGCTTTTTAAGAAGCTTGAGATTGGAAAAGAAGTGGTGTCTTGCATCTGAGGTGTGCTGCAGTGTTGGTGGTTGAAATCTCAGTGTGTTCTGAGAGTTTCCATGGTTATTGAATCGTAATTTTTTTGCTACCAACTAGAGTAACCATAGCCCCGAAACAGAAGATGGCTAGTTCTCTGTGGTTGATCAAGGGCAGTGTTGCCGCCCGTTTGTAAAGCAGCTCTTGCCATGCCCCTACTTTCACAGGTTTCGGTCCCGCGGGCTCTGCTCTTGGCCACGGAGGGAATGGCTTCCAGTGAGCCTCGCCTGGACGATGCGGAGGGGGCAGTGGTGGGGCCGAGGGTGCCAGGATTAGCTGCCCGTCATCTGTATTTGGGGAGAGGTTGCTCTGGGCTTGGAGGACGGGAGGAGCCCTGTGCTGTCTGTCACTGGTGTGTAAGGTGAGCTGGGCCCCCTGCACGCACAGCCCTACGCTGAGCCTGCGCTTCTCTTCTTCCCGGTGTTTTATTTTGAAGAGTTTCAAGCATAAGTGAAATTGAGGGGAATAGGGCAGGTGGTGTCATGTTTCGCATGTCTGATTGGGGGTGTCGTGTTGCAGCTGGTGGATATATGAAATAATGGCTGTTTTTGAAGAGGTGTAATTATGAGGAACATAATTGATTATGAAGGCTTGTTATTCTCACGGAATCAGGAATTCTGTAGAGCAGGCGTGGACCTGTGTCTGTCCCTGGGCCTCTTGCATCAGCAGCCCCCAAGATAGAAGTGGATGCTTCCGTTCATTATAGCTGAGGACATGTGGGCTTTTGAGCAAACACAGAAGATTTATACAAGCACCACTCTTATTCAGACCATGTGCGTTTTCTCTTAACCGAATTAGGATGAACGAGCATGTTCGTTGACGTGTAGTTACAAAGATAAGGAAACATTCTCCCTTTGGCGCTGATTTCCCATGGTAAGGTTCAGAGAATGGGAGGTTTTACCTTTTTTTAAGCCTTTGGGAATTGGCAGGGCCCAGCTGGGGCTTGTTTCCTGTGGCTGCAGCCCGAGTCTGTCCTCTGTTCCCTCATCATGATCGTGTGCAGGTGGGGGCCTCTGCTCCCACAGTGTGGAGAGGCCCCTGCCTGGTAAGACCCCACACTGCATGGTCAGCAGGTGGGGCTGCAGCCTGCGTGATCCCTACTAAACAACCTTCCTGCATTCTGATTGCCGTAAGCCTCTGTGAATCACTGCAGTTTGGAAGAGCAGGAGGTGAGACATGGATAGGGTGTTTAGGTGAGCCTCTTCTTAGTCAATAACTGTTGCTTTCTTGTCTCTGATGGGGGCTCTCTAGGTTTGAGCCCATAGGACAAATAAATCCTACGCAATACGGTACGTGTGCAAGTGATGTCAGCATGTGCCCACCCAAGGGCATGCTTTTTTTAGAACACAGGAGCCTAAGTCCCGACTAAGTGCACAGGAGCGGCTGATTTTGACTGTGTGTTCAGTTTAATCACTCACCTGTGATGTTCTGAGTGTGGCTTCTCAGACACACTAGGCTCTCCTGCCTCCCCTCAAACCTTTGGTCCCTCTGACAGATGTCCCTGCTGCACCCGTCTCTTCCCACTGGCCACGGCTGCCATCAAGGACCCATGGCCGCCTCTCTGGCATCCATCAGTGCTCACCACTGTAGGAAATAAGTCACACTGTTCTCCCTCGAGCTGTCTTCTAGTCTGGGAGGTAACTCTTGGTTTCCTGGGGTGATTTTCTTGAGTTCTTTTAACCCGTTTCTTTTCTGAACATGAAAAGCACAGCTCCGACAAGAGCTTTTCTGTTCCTTACTTGTTGGTGTCACCTGAAGTTATAGGTGGAGTGTTCTTTTGGTGGATCATTGCTTAAGCAGAGGCAGTGTTTCTTAAAAATACATGACCACATATTTCACTTTGACATGATGTGGGACACACTATGCAAAACTACTATCTTAGGGCATGTTTTCATCTATAGGAACTCATCACATTTTAAGTAAAGTTATGTTAGAATCTGATGTTTTATAATGTCATTTACTTAGTTGTTCAGTTATTTTGAATTTCTGTATGTTGGGTTTTCTTGTTCTGTTCTGTTCTTTCTTTCTTTCTTTCTTTTTTTTTTTTTAAAGATTTATTTGAAAGAAGAGAGCACAAGCGGGGTGAGCAGAGGCAGAGGGAGAAGCAGGCTCTCCGTAGATCAGGGAGCCCGATGCGGGACTCGATCCCAGGACCCAGGGACCATGACCTGAGCCGAAGGCAGACACTTAACGACTGAGCCACCCAGGCGTCCAATGTGTTCGGTTTTCTTAAGGCAAGATGTAGCTGTATAGGTTTCAAGATTATTGGCCTAATTTTATAATTTGATTTTTCTGGGGTCTGGGAGAGAGAGATTTTTTCCTTTTCATTTTGTCGTACTGTTATCCTGTGCTGCTGCGGATTCTGTGCCTTTTGGTAAAGGAAGAGTTTGAGATGTAGCGCCTCGAAGTTTGTGCTGCCGTGATTTCTGCTTGACATAAGCTCTGTGTAAGGTTCTCACTGGAAACGTTTAGAAGGCCAAATAGTGTTTTTTCCTTCTTTTGTGTTCCCTTTTAGTTTTCACTGTGTATTGTGAAAGCCCTTTATTATAATAGGAACATTACCGTGATAGGATTTCCTCAGCGCAGCTCTGGCTCTGACTGTGGGAGTGGCTGCCGGACAGGCCCAGGGTGCACCGAGTTCCGCTAAGGTGGATTTTAGATACTTTATGTCACTGGTTGTTTTCCCAATAGCAGGAATGAGAAATTGTGTGTACTCTTCTTGGAAAGAATAAAAATGTTTAATTGAAGTGTTTTGGAATGTCAGGAATTTGAACTACCAGCAGTTTGTTTTCGTAATTTCTGTCTTCATCGTCAGGAGATTGAACTAAAATCCAGTGCTTTTCATCTGAAATCAGCTAAATCCTTCCATGTTCATGTGTGTGTCCCCTGACAGTAGGATTCAGTCAGTGAGCTGTCTGAGGAAGTCTTGTGCTGTGAAGGACAGCTTGCCCTTCCCTTCCTGAACAGTGGTGCATGCTCCGTGTGGTGGGGTGCAGTACCCCGCTGATCCCAGCCGGACTCTGGCCTTGTGGGTTGTGCATACAGAGACCTTCTGCAAGAGGCTTCGATGGTAATAAAGCTCATCGTAAGGTTCAGTCCACTAACTGTCCTTTGAAAGGAACATGAGAGCTGCCAATTTGGATTGTCCTCTAACAGGAGGTCCCGGCTTCCTCCCTCCCGGCACTGCCGCTTCTCTGTGGGTCTTGGTGAAGGGCCCCCCCCCACTTTTCTTAGTTTTTGTTTTGTTTCAATTGCTATAAAAAGGGACTGACAGTTGAGGCAGTCACTGGTCATTAAGCTTCCTCCGTGGGTGGCCAATGACTCCAGTCTGTACCCAGCTGACAGTATTCATAAGTGTGAATAAACTCTGGCATTGAAGAAACTCTGAAATTAACTCAACATGGGTAAAATATCTGAGAATGCAAAGTTGGTTTTTTTTTTTTTCCTGTTTTGCTTTAATTCTTCCCATATGATTATAACTTTATCCTCCAAATGTGAACTTTGGTGTTTTCTTCTAAAGAAAACAAAACACCACATCTAACAAAACAAAACAAAACAAAAAATCAGATGAGAAATGATAATGATTGCTCTAAAGCTAAGACATTTTCATATGCTTTTATTCCCAAATAACCAGGGAAGATATTTAATACTGAATACCAAATTCTAGGTCATATATGTATGAGATGAAAATAGCTTTGAATTTTGTGTCATGCGATTCACAATTTTCTTTGTGCTTTTGAAGAGAAAAAGCATTTTATTTAAAGATTTTATTTTCTTATTATTTATTTGAGGGAGAGAGTGTGTGAGAGAGAGAGAGCATGAGAAGGGGGAGAGT